TGATAGTTTCATGAACCTAAGTTGTCTGAATAAATATCGATAATCACCCAAATTGGAGCCATAAAATGGACTTTTCGGCGCACGAGAAGGATGGAGTGTCAGGACGGCTCGAATGATTTCTCTACCTTGACGTCATAAACACCGCTTTTTATGCCAGTTCTCATCGTAGTATTCAAGACATCGTAGAATAGTACTACTGTCGTGCATCGTAGCATCAGAGTCGATACCACGCAGAATACTACGATGGGAACTGGCCTCAAAAAGCGGTATTCATAATGTCAAGGAAGAGAAATCATCGGAGCAGTCCTGAAACTGCATCCTCCTCGTGCGCGGAAAAGTCCAAATTATGATTCCACTTTGAGCGACTGTCGATATTTATTCTGACAACTTAGGTAAAGGAAACTTCCAGAAAACAATTTTTGTGATGTTTCCAATGGAATATGAAAATGTCAGGAATCTAGACAATCCACAACGGAGTTTATGAGGCGTCAAACACGACGCATTTATTTTGCGCCACCCGGTTTAACTGGAGGCAGAAAAGTCCTCTCCAGATCTACATGCACTCAATGGAAATATGAAGCGCCAGGACCTCCTCATGCAGAGCCTCTTTAGAGCATACCTCTAATAAAGGAGCCCTGTTATTTAAAATACTTTGGATAGTCCCTCAAGAGGGGAATTGAAAATACATATCTGTACACCAACATCCTTACAATTGGATTTGATGTACCTCAACGGAGAATGGAGTGGCTTATCATTCAGAACAATTGATTGCTTGTAGTACCCGAAACGAGAGAGAATACCACCGGTCGCGTTTGGTTTGGACCGGTACTATTCGTGTAGCAGGTCCAAGCAATATTTCCGCTGAACCCCAGCGTCGTCGTAAAAGAATTCGTTCAATATTTCCGTGTGGAACAAATCGGGAGTGCTCCTCCTTTCTCAAGCCATCAACAAAATAATTACGATTCTCATGTATTTTCTCGGAAAGTTTCTTGTCACCAACTCCTATCTCGCCAAAAAAGGAAGCAAACCATTATACAGTAGAACATTTTCGCGTTTTGGTTGTTTGTCCAATGGCGAGGAAAATCGTATCGCGCCTGGAAGAAAAGAAGTCAGTAGGAAAAGTTTCCATGAAATTTATTTCACTAGCGTCTCTCCAGAACATCGAGAAAAGCACATCAGAGGGATATTTCCACTCACAGGATGACCACGGCTGCGAATCTAGAACCGATTCCTTTTAGCAGTCTCTGGCACGAACTCTTTCTCTCTGTCTTAGTCGTCCATGATAATGAGTTTAATACTGTCCATGAAATATGGTGGGTTTCATGCTTCCGTGGTACTTTGCTCCGCTCGCAAGAAAATGCAGTTCAAGAAATTCTTACCGAGTCACGACTGTGCTTCATCATGCTGGCATTCAGGCGCCGTCGTTTAAGTTCTTTCCGAACTGTGATGCAAATCGGAGGGATATCAACGGATGGAGTGGAGGTTTTTTTCTTTTTCTTCGCCTGCTTTTTCACGAAATCCTCTACTGACTGGTGCCAAGGAATCCCGAGGCGGGAATACACGGCCGCAATCGTTTCCACAGGTCTTTCGACGATGTCCTCATAATGCAATTCGACGTACCGGCCGGGGAAGGCCTTGGAGAAGTCCGATCCTTCACGCAACTCCTTCGACACAACAGAACAGACATGTGTCAGGTTTCGGCACGATCCGCAGCACCAGTACTCGTCCAACCTGGATTTCCAGATGGATAGGGGATCTCTCCAAAGGTGGACGACTCTCATGTCCTCCACTTCCTTCAATAGAGGAGCGAGTTTATGCAATGGGAATCTTTCCACTTCCTTGATGACGCGGATGGAATGCCTGGAGCAATGTTGTTCCATGAAGGCTTCGTTCCTCGCCATCCGTGAGAATTGGAGAGGATTCATGGCTTCCATTTTCATTCCATAGAGGAATTCCTTGTATGGGAATATTCCAAGTGGAAAAGAGGCCAGGAAGCGATATACCGACAGACGTGGGATCGTTCCCTGGAATTTGCAGTGAATGAGCCTTTTCAAAACGTCTCCGTCGAAGGGTACCTCATCATTTATGTCCATGAATGACATGAGGGGCTCGAAAAAGTATATGGCAGAAGGATGTGATGACAAGATCCTGGCTGTGATGGACGAGCCGCTCCGCCGAAACCCAGTAATGAAAATGCTCCTAGTTTCATTTATCCGAGGAACAGTCGGGAGTCGTTCCAGCCATTCCTTCGCCTCGGCTGTCAATTCCCTTTGTATTCGGTTTCCTTCATATCGACGGATGCCTGAGTTAAAGTACCAAAAGAATGTCATTATTGTTTTGACGGGCAAAAAGTGCTCTATTCCAAATGAAAAATGAATTTTCATATGCTACTTACTTACCGACATATGATGAAACAAAAAGGAAGAATATCATGTAGTATGTTAGACTGTGGATGAAATGGAAGACATATTGTTCCTTCCCGATCGGCTGCGTCTCGAGAATGGCAGGTGGAACTTCGCCTTCAGGAGGTGGGATTTCGAAATCGGAATGCGGAACATTGACCATGGAGAATTCGTTCATCAAAGGAACTTGGGAATCCATTTCTGGAAAGGCGGATCAAAAGAATCGCGATGAAACCAGGAAGGGTGCCCTTGCTCTTTTTTTTTTAACTTCGGCAGGCTTTCAGAAACCTTTTGTGTTAATGTACAGTATGAAAAGTGAAAATGGTGATCTTCACTTGTCTCACTTCCATAAACTGGGCAATAATATTTCGTTGGAAACCGTCAGCGATAAAAGAGTGCCCTTAGATGTCTTTCTGCATATAAAGCTCCGTCTGAATTGCACTTCCTAAACTATACTAAGCGCGGTTCATCCCGAGCAGAGGATGATCAAATATAATTTTGAGCTTATTCCGATTCGAATGTATCATTATTGTGTTCTTCGAAGAAGCAGAATAAGACGAGTCACGATTATGGAGACGGGAGGTCGTTTTCTTCCGGCATTCATTATTTCCGTCTTACTTTCCGTCTTACTTCTAATTACTTCCGTCTGCTTTTTCAGTGGGATAAAGACCGGTGATGCAGGAACGCCCAAGGGACTTGCCTCAGGGGCATTAGGGAGTGACTGATTTCGTTGGATTGCTCTTTGTGACCTATGTGTGACGAACATTGAACCTGTTGCGAAACATTTTGAAATAATGGGATCGAAGTAAGAACCAAGTCATTGGCGAATACACGAATTCAACTTAGGGTTTCCTCAATCCGACCTGAAGGCGAAAAACCGGGGAATTGAATTAATGAACACCGTTGCCGTTCTAGAACTACTTATGGATGAATTACCTTAGTGGAGGATTCTTATCAGGGGTACTCCGTAAATAGTTTTTTGCAAGCGTTCGCCGTGTCGTTTTCATGACGATTGCCAAAACTTGGCTGGTTGGTGATTCAGATATCTCGTCCCCTTTGAACACGTTCGACAACGAAGAGATAAAGGAGGAGGATGTCTCACCTCCCGTCTCCCCGTCGCCTGGAGCACCGGACTCGAAGACGCGTCCTCGGCTGATTGAGGGCGATGGCGCTTCGTGGGGATCCATGTCGAGGGGCGAACCCGAGTTAAAGAAGTGCAAGTGTTCAGTAGAAAGGACTAATCTGCACTGCCAGTATTTCAATCGCTGTCAGGGGTTTTGATTCATCAATCTGAAAAGACGATGAACCTACTTGTTCGATGAAACTTTCGACAAAACGACAAGAGATTTTCTCATGGTTACAAAGAGGCCCTTGTTTTTTTTTTTAAATGAATTTTATTCTTTTTTTTTCATCATTTCGGGGGCAAAGGTAGTTTCTTGATTTCCTTCGAAGTTACGTTCTTCTCCCCATGCTATTCTCCAAAATAGATGATACATTTTTAATTTTAAAAGGACTTCATAAAAGTTTGCATACTTGCACAATTATTCATATACGAAGGGTGGTTAAAAAAAACGCTCTACCGTTTTCTATGGGAAAAACACAGTTTTATAAATTCAGCGAAAAAAATTCCATTGGATAGGCTATCGATATTTGACTGTTCCCAGCTTTTTTTCAACACTCTTGCCTAAGTTTTGCAATTCCAATTTAGAAGTGACTTATAGGTGCTTAGAGGTGGAGCATTCCACCTCAAGTGAGGTGACGATCGTCTTAGAATTCAATGAATTTTTCAACTTTAACTTTTCAAAGGACAATTAGATCCAATTGATACTTGACAGAAAAGTTGACGAGACTAAGTGGGTTTTTCCTTTCCGCAAGTTGGCGCTGTTTCCCGATAGAGGGCGCTGTCGTTGACCCAGTGTCCGAGGGTGATTATAGGAAACGATCCACCATTTTAGAAGGGAGAAAGTATGATCCATGCATTCGAGGAAAAAATATTGATTGATAATATTTTGATATCGGACGTATGGGAGGTGTTGAGAAGATTGTCTGAGCTTTTCTCAGAACAATCCATTGAACTGTACATAGGACATATGGGAACGAATCATTCGTTCTCCCCTTTGAGAACAGCGGAGCTTTTAGTAATCATCCTCGGTCACCGGGTCAACAACAGCACCCTCTCTCGGGATACAGCGCCATCTTGCGGAAAGGAAAAACCCACTTAGTCTCGTGAACTTTTCTGTCAAGTATCAATTGGATCTAATTATCCTTTGAAAAGTTAAAGTTGAAAAATTCATTGAATTCTAAGACGATCGTCACCTCACTTAATGTGGAATGCTCCACCTCTAAGCACCTATAAGTCACTTCTAAATTGGAATTGCAAAATTTAGGCAAGAGTGTTGAAAGAAAGCTGGGAAGGATTTCAACACCTGGGAACAGTCAAATATCGATAGCCTATCCAATGGAATTTTTTCCGCTGAATTTATGAAAATGTGTTTCTCCGATAGATAACGGTAGAGCGTTTTTTTTTAACCACCCTATATTCAGGAACCGGAGACAATGGTCTCCTTGCTGATGACAAGAGTAATAAAGGAAAAGGGAAGACACTGGCTCGGGATGGACACTCTTCATGGCACTGCCACAGACAGGCTGGTTGGCCCCGAGCGGAATACGAAGTAGTCGGCGCTGCAGCGTGTTGTGTCAATGAATATCGAATGGGACATGGTCGGAGCAGAACCTTTTACGCTCAGCGGTTCTGCTCGGCTTCGTCATGGCGAACAGGGAATGTTTGTCATGACGGGGTTTGCCTTCGTGACGGGTTTCTTTCGCCGATTTCGTTCCGTGAGGAAACACCTGCATTTAGAGAGTTTCTGGAACATGTTTGAAAATTTGTTGTGTTTCGGTTCGTGGCTAACGACGACTATTCTTTGGCGGAGGGAATCACCATCCGCCCCACAAATAGACGTAAGCCACGAAATAAAACATAAAGGTTTCCTTCTCACTCCTGAGAAATTCGAGCTTGAAGTTGAATATGTCTATAAATACACACACGCACACATCAGATTTGTAACATTTCACGGTACATTTCGCAATGTTTACCTTGTAGGAGAAAAAAAAATAGAAAAAAAGAGACCGAGTAGCGTCTTTTGCCCTAATTTCTAGCAAATGTTGTGTTTTTCTTAAAAATGCTATGTACAAGGACTATGAGATTTCGTATACTGATAGACCTTCGGGTTTTCTAAAATTACTTGCATGCTTTTCTCTGTTGTTCATCTGTGGTCGGAAATGGAGGTCTGAAAAATGATTGCGGAAAATCGACTTTACAGGTATATTACATCGTGTTACCTTTCTCTTTTAGAGTCGGCTTCATTTATCACCCTCATTCGAAAGTCCTTAAAAGGCCTTAGCTTTTCGAAGAGGATCCTTTTGGGTTCCTTTAGCGAACGGTTTCTGAGTTATGGCGATTTGGATCCGACTCTCGGAATGGCTATCTGGCGGCAACTTTGGCTCTGACTTTTGGCTAAACTATGCACTTGAGGGAAACCCCGTCGAGACGATTCTTTCCTAATCGACCCTTGACTGGACGAACTATAAACGCCGAGCGTGAAGCTGCCCCTAAATCGAAAAGGCATTAAATTCCTAAAAAGTAAAAGAACGGTTACGCAATTTTCAAAATCAATTAAAATGAACCTTTTTTGAATTTTGAAAGTGTTCCATTAAAAAGTGCCCATTTCCACAACGATTCAATCTCGCATGAATGGAAGGGAGACGGAGTCGATGCCGACGACACGAGCAATGAAGAAAAATCGCGAATTTTCCGGCCCCGGACGGAGTCTCTAGACGGCAATGGCAGCGACACGAACGAAGAAGATCCCGAGCGGAATGAGAGGCGCAGTTGACGCTGCCGAGTGAAGGCCGAGTGCTCGTGGATTCCAAGATACATAGACTATCAGATAGGCTCGAGTGGCTCACGCGCCTAGCGGCCGAGGAGGGAGCGCAGTCACTTGAGGCACGTGAATGTGCGTGTAGTGACGTCACAGCTGGGATATAAGAGAATGAGTGGAATAGGCGCAGTCACGGCCTTTTATAGCGCAGTCACTTTAACGGCAGGTGAAAAAAGCCTTCACGCACCTAGCCACTCTGGAGGGCCTTGCGTGGATTCCGCCCTCGACGCGGTCGGAGGAGCACCTTCACGCTACGCAGTACTGCCCTGCTCTGTCACGACGAACAGGAAAAGCTTGTCGTGACGGAAACCCTTTAAGACGGGCTTCTTTTGGCTTCTTTCCGGGATGAATCAAATTTACTTAAGGAGTTCATGGAATAGATCCGAAAATATGGTCGGTTGCGTGTTTTGATACTTGGCTAATTACTACTCGTGGGCGGAGGGGTTCATACTCCACTCCTTCTTCCTGGGAACTAAGAGGATACGAAAAACATCATCATTAAATCTGAAGACTCTATCGAGCGTTAGGGTGTAACCAGTCATATTGAGGTTTTCTAACGTACATAGTAAAGAAAATAAACTTTACTTCGATCAACCTCCGAGGAATTTCTGCCGCGCTCCCATCGCATTTCCGCCTTGCCATCATTGTCCATTGCCGTCCCCGCAGAGAAAACAATAAAAACCGTGAAAGAAAATATCGAGTTGAAGCTGAAAATTTTAGTCTATTTACGAATCTTTAGGTGCAGAAGTTCCTCAGACTTCCAAGAAGGCGTTTCCTATAAAAACTTAGAATTTTTGAATTTCGCTTTCATTCTATTCGCTTAATTCGCAGGATTTTCCTGATTAAAATCATGCCAACACGAGATTTCGTTCAACAGACGAGTAATTATATCCAATCGAAACCGAGAGTGAATTCGGAATGGGAGCATAATTAACAAATTACGATCTTCCCTCCTTGCGATTCCCCAAAACAAACTCCAAAATTTTCAAAAGAAATGCTTAAAGTGTAGCTTTACCATCGACACTGAAAAGAACTCACGGATTTTAAATTGTTGCTCGGAAACAAGGAAGCAATCTGCGTTTGGGGATTTCCACGGGGGACGACAGGCCCAGCAAGGTAAAGATAGGAACAAGTGCGGTTAAGGACATGGTTGAAACTTTCTTCGTAGTTGGTGCTCATATGGCGAAATTTTTTTTTCTTTTGTAGGACTGAAGCATAATGAATGCGGAATGTTACACTATTTTCAGCTGAGAAAAACTAAAAAAAAAAAAAAACATAAAAAAATAACCCCTCACTCGGCTCCAGGATCTACTCCTGCATTGCAATAATTCCTGAAGCCAAGTGGCCAACTCGAAAGACCCACCTGGTCGCCCATTCACCCAAGAGTCCCGATTTGAAGCCTTGCGTTGACTGGTTCACAATCGACGAATGTTTCTTTCGATGGAAGCGGTTGCCAAGTGCAGAGGATTCCATCATTGCCTGTGGAATAGGAGTTTCCGAGGTACCAAAGAAGGAATGGCGCAGAAGCTCCGAGAGATGGTCTAACTGCACGAAATGCCACGAGAAGAGTCCTGGGAATTGCCTAAAAAGGTTGTAAATGCCGACAGGAAATTTTGAAATAGACGTATGATTTGAAGAGACCCTGACACGATATTCCAAGTGTCTGATGGTGGCATGGTACGGCCCGGCATTAGGGCTGAGGGGCGATCATTACGTTTGTGATTGGAACAAACGCGAATATCCAATCGGTTGTATATAGCAGTCTTCTGTTGTTTTTCTTTGGAAATCGTCGGCAATGAAAGAATGTTTGTACCGCCTTTGAAGTTCTCATTGCACGAGAACCATTTTTTGAATACACTATGTAACTTAACCTATTCTAAGCGCAGGTATCGATCGCCTAGTCAGGCAATTTTAAACACAGACGTCTCATTTGGAAATGAACAGCAATAAAAAAAAACTGCTCTTGACACCAGATATGGAAGGAAACTCCAACATTTTCTGTTTTATTTAGAGCCTGTTGACGCCGCTCCTCTTGACACGAACGATATTCGTTTAGGGGTCTGTCCACGCCAAGTGATGAAGGATTTTTGCCGGAAATTTTCCAAATATACAAATATTAATTTCGCTACTGAGGTTCATCATCTCATTTCCCAGAGGACATGAAGGAAAGACAATATTACATTGGAAAATGAAAGAATTAATTATTATTATGATATATATTGATATGAGTCATCCCAGTCTCATGATACTAAAAAAACGTGATGATAAATGTGATGATAATGAAGTAAAAGGGTAATAAAATACTTAAAGGTAAAGGGGTACATGTCCTCCAGACAGGGCCGTTTCTAGGCGTGTTG